GACCTACTACTTGTTATAGTCTGTCCTTTCCATGTCAGCCAGCCTAGTATGGGTGAAGTGGTATCTTGTGGTTCTGATTGGCATTTCCCTGATGGCTAATGATGTTGGTCATCTTTCCACGTGCGGATGCAGTCTGGTCCAGGCTGGAGTGCCCACACCCGTCTCTAAATGAATGGCCCTGAGGATGGGAGGTGACGAGTTGTGGGCACTGATATTTTAGAGAGCGAGGTCTTCGTGCTGGCCACCACCTCGAGAGGAACAAATTCCTTATTTACTTTCTTTTTTTTTTTCTTTTTTTGAGATAGAGTCTTACTCTGTCACCCAGGCTAGAGTGCGGTGACACAATTTCAGCTCACTGCAACTTCCGCCTCCCAGGTTCAAGCGATTCTTCTGCCTCAGGCTCCCACGTAGCTGGGATTACAGGCATGTGTCACCATGCCCAGCTAATTTTTTTGTATTTTTAGTAGAGCCTGGGTTTCGTCATGTTGGTCTGGAACTCCTGACTTTAGGTGACCCACCTGCCTTGGCCTCCCAAAGTGTTGAGATTACAGGCGTGAGCCTCCGTGCCTCGCCAATTCCCTTATTTCTAACGGTTGGCAGGTTGGTTCACCTCTGAGGTATGGCCCACTTGACCTTAGAAGTGAGCTCGCTGCTAAGCTGGGTTGTGTTTGAGGGGGTGGGGTTTGGAGCTCTGTTGGGTGGTGACCTCAGTCCTGTTTACCCCTGCAGAAGAAAGACCCAGCCCAGTTCCTGCAGGTACATGGCCGAGCTTGCAAGGTGCACCTGGATTCTGCAGTCGCCCTGGCCGCTGAGAGCCCTGTTAATATGTAAGACTCATACGGGAGGCAGGGGAGTGTCTGTGACTGAAGACTGGGAGTCAGAACCGACCTGGGGTGGTGTAGAGTCTGGAGCAGAGACTGAAGTATGGACAGATGTTTGGGGACTCAGAGGCAGGGAAGGCGTGACCCACCTGTGAAGGTGATAGTCACAGGGTGTAAGAACAATGAGCAGGGGTTGGGGTGGAGGCCCCAGAGTAGCGGTCCTGATTGGAGGACTTAGAAATGGGTGGAGCCAGGGCCAGAGGTCCCGAGGAAGCAGAGAGTAGGTTGCCAGACCAGGGCTGTCTCAGGGTGCCTGAGGCCCGCCCCTCAAATACCCACTAGGACCTGGTTCAAGTTCCCCACTATTGCTTGGTTCTGAGAAATGGGGTCCTGGTGTCCCCAGGGGCAGTCAGCTGACTGGCCCGTTTCAGGTCCCAGGAGCCTGAATGTGGATTCAGGGAGGCTTGCAGCAGAAGGGACTGAGAGCTGGGGGTTGAGGTGAGGGCCATGGCATGGGGACCAAAGCGGGCTGAGGGCCAGGCTTCCAAGCCTCAGCTGGCAGGGAGCAGGCGCTTTGTGTCCTGGGCAGTGTGGACACTGAGGTTCTTGCTTTCCTGCTCCCCTCCCACTTCAGGATGCCCTGGCAGGGGGACACCAACAACATGATCGACCGATTCGATGTCCGTGCCCACCTGGACCACATCCCCGACTACACCCCCCCACTGCTCACCACCATGTAAGCCGCCTCCCAGAGGGCTGCCAGGCACAGTATCATACCCAGGAGCCCCTGTTCTTTTCCCAGCTTGCCTGTCACCTTCCTAGGAGCCCCTCCTATTTGGTACCGCCCTGAGCCTGAGGGGGATGCCCCATTTCCCTTCCTGCTGGCTTGGGGTGGGATCCACCCCTTCCCTCTGATTTCAAGGTCTCGCCCTCCCCTAAAGCTCCCCAGAACAGGAGTCGGACGAACGGAAGTGTAACTACGAGCGCTACCGAGGCCTGGTGCAGAACGACTTTGCCGGCAGTGAGTGATCTGCAGGGGGACGAGGGGCGTGGGGTTTGGGGGCCCTGGAGCCTGGAAGACATAAATAAGTTTGGGAAGAAAAGTTTTATCCACATACTTTCTACTAAAGGGTCTTGGGTTCCGGCTCCAGCTCTACGATAGACTCACTTTGCCTGCATCTCTTTCCCCTTCAGGGCCTCCGTCTCTGCATTTGGTGTAGGGGATGTCTGCTGAATTGGTCGTTCCCAGCAGGGTCACGTCCATATACCATGCCTTCTGACTCTGTGGTCCTTTTTTCTTTAAAGAGTAGAGAAAATAGCAAGAATATGTTTTTATTTTTATTTTTAAATTTTTAAAATTTTTATTTATTTATTTATTAGAGGCAGAGTTTCATTCTTGTTGCCCAGGCTAGAGTGCAGTGGTACGATCTCGGCTCACTGCAACCTCTGCCTCCTGGGTTCAAGTGATTCTCCTGCCTCAGCCTCCTAAGTAACTGGGATCACAAGTGCCTGCCATCACCCCCAGCTAATTTTTTGTAGTTTTAGTAGAGACAGGGTTTCACCATCTTGGCCAGGCTGGTCTTGAACTCCTGACTGTGTGGTCCACCTACCACGGCCTCCCAAAGTGCTGGGATTACAGGCGTGAGCCACCGCGCCTGGCCATCACCCCGTTTTACAGACAAGGATGTCGAGGGGGAACACCCTGTCCAAGGACCTGGGATTCTCCACGTGTCCTTAACCGCTGCTCTCTGCTGATGGAAAGCTCTTAACTCACCTACCAAGAATTAGAGATTCCCTTTCTTGGGGTTCCCTGTGGAGTTAAGGGAAGGATGGAGTTCTCTGCTGGGTTTGTGCCTTACTACCTGGTGGGTCTCAGTTTCCTTTTCGAGAAGCGTGGTGGTGATGATTTTGTCGCATGGGGTGGTTGTGAGAGTTGAGTGAGGTGATGTGTATAAAACCCCAGCACTGAACCTGGCACAGTCAGCCCTCCATGTGGGTCTGCTGGTCTGGTATTTGTTTATTTCTAAGATAGATGCTTTTTTGATTTTCTAAAATCAGAGGCTGCCAAAATTCTAGTGATCACCGAGGCCTTAGAATCAGGGACATGTGGTATAATGGATACTGTTTTTGCCATCATTCCAGGCCACATAGATTCCTGGTGGTAGAGCCAGGGTTCCCTTAGTTTTGCCTCACTCTGCATTTATTCATTCACTTCCACAAACAGTCATTGAGCACATGCGGTGTGGCAGGTGCTGCTCTGGGATCAGTGGCATGGTAGGGGAGAGGGCAGCAGCTCTATACTCATGTCAGTGACGCCAGTTGCAAACCAAGATAATGTGACAGACAGTGCACCATTCTCTGAGAAAAATAGGACAGAAGTCCTGGACCAAGGCTGGGGTCAGTGATGTATGGATAGAGGCTCCCTAGGAGGCACGGGTAGGCCACAGGATTCCAGGCCGAGAGCAGCCTGTGCAAAACCCTGTGTCAGCCAGGACTATGGGCACACTGGAGGGGCAAAGAGCAGGCCCGCGTGACCGGAGCAGGGAGAGCGAGGGAGCTTGTGCAAGGCAGGGTCAGCAGGGCCCCTCCTGGGCTTTGGAGACAACAAGTAGAAATGGAGTATCTGCTAGAGCAAAGAAGGGCCATGCTACATCCCCTTCTGGCCCACCAGCCCACCCACCTCTTGTTCCAGATAGAAAAACTCAGGCCAGCCGGGCACAGTGACTCATACCTCTAATTCCAGCACTTTGGGAGGTCGAGGTGGTGGATCACCTGAGGTTGGGAGTTCGAGACCAGCCTGACCAACATGGAGAAACCCTATCTATACTAAAAATACAAAATTAGCTGGGTGTGGTGGCACATGCCTGTAATCCCAGCTACTTGGGAGGCTGAGGCAGGAGAATCCCTTGAACCCGGAAGGCGGAGGTTGCGGTGAGCAAGATCGCACCATTGCACTCCAGCCTGGGCTACAAGAACGAAACTCCATCTCAAAAAAAATACAGACAAAACTGAGGCCCAGGGAGGGAAGGAAGGAAGGGGACTCACCACCCACGGTCCCACAGCAAGTCAGGCACACGTGTCTCACTGCAGGGAAGATCAGGAAGGCTCTGGTACATTGTTGAGTCCTCTAAGCTGGGTGTTAAAACGAGTCACGGAGAGGCTTGCAGTGGAGTGACCTGTGCAGTCAGTGGCGTGTGGCGCTCAGGAGCAGGTTTTGGTTCTGAAGGGTCCAGCCAGAGGCCTCCAGAAACAGTTAGAATGGTGGTAGAGTGTACCAGGCTAGGCACTCACTCTGCCTGTGGTCCCATTTTACGGAAAAGGAAACCAAGGCACAGATGTGCTGTCACTTGACCAAGGTCGTGTGTCCAGTGAGTGGTGTGTCCAAGGCTCTGCTGCAGTTGCTTGTGTCCCACCAGACACAGTTTGATTATCTGGAAGTGGCGATTGCCCCAAGGTGCACTGGGGTTGCACCTGTCTTCCTGCTTCACCGCACTCTGATGTTCTCCCACTGAATTCCTAGTGTCCCCAACCCACTCTGACCCGGAGTCTCTTGTTTGCTGCAGTCTCAGAGGAGCAGTGCCTGTACCAGATCTACATTGACGAGTTGTACGGAGGCCTCCAGAGACCCAGTGAAGATGAGAAGAAGAAGTGAGTTGGGGTCTGGGGTGCAGGGGGTTGAGGAGGCAGGAGGGCTGGGAGCCCCAGGCAGGCATGGCCTCTTCCATCCTGTCCACCAGGGTCTCCCCAGAACCAAGGATGGTGTTCAGCACACAGTCAGTGCTCACTTAATAACTGTGTAGAGGAAGAAGCCCTGTCAGGGTACCAGGGCTTGCCGACGGCTCTGCGTTGCATTTGCAGCTTGGGGAGTGGTGGGAGGTGCAGTCCCTGTGGTCAGACAGCCCTGGGTTTGAGTCCTGGCTGTGAGACCCTGAGTGGGAATTCTCTGAGCCTTGCTGTGCTTCCCTGTAAAATGGGGCTGGCAGGAGGCCCCGCTGCCTGGAGTTGGGAGGCATGCAGGAGACAGAGCTTGTGAAGTACCTGTCCTAGCACCTGCCGTGTAGTGAGCTTGCAATCAGCCCTCACTGATGTCACTCTGGAGAGAGGCTTCTCAAAGCTGCGTCCCTCAAGGAGTAGCTGGGGAGACCCGGGCCTTATCCTGGAGCAGCTGCCTCTGAGGAGCAGCGGCCAGGCAGTCTCACTTCTCTCTTCTCCACCTCGGTCTGATGAGCACAGGCCCCTACCCTCACACATGCCGTTCCCTCTGCAGGGCTTAGCTCTTCTCCAGGCCAGCTGCTGTTGCCCCGGTGCACGGTAGACTGGAGCCCTGGCTCGGGACTGGGCGGCTCCCTCAGTGACACCTTCCCTCCTGCTCCCCCTGACTGCTTGCCGCCTTCCTCCACTGGGAGGGGTCCCATGGGACTGTCCTGGATGCTTCTTGGAGACTTCAACCCTCGTCCACGGCCCCAGCCTCAGGGTCCTGCTCAGGCCCCTCAGGCACTGCTCTGTTCAGGGCAAAGCTGGGGCACCTGACTGCTCAGGAGGACTCTGGGCTGTGCCCTCGTGCGACTTACGGTCTAGGCGGGAGACAGACCTTCCCCAACAGAGATGACCCAAGGAAGGCAGGGCTGGGGAGCTCAGGACAGTGCCGACCCACCCTAGGTGCCAGTCAAGGACTTCTTGGCAGGTGGGGCCCTGGAGCTGAGATGTGGAGGAAGAGGGAGGAGCTGGGTGTGGGCAGGAGCAGAGGGACCTAGGCTGAGGGACAGCCTGAGGGGAGGGGGCCGTGGCACTCGAGAAGCTGGTGTGTGGGGCCAGCCTGGGGCCCTCCTCTCCGCCAGGCGCGGCCCTGGCTCAGTGGCTCCCCTTTCCAGGCTGGCAGAGAAGAAGGCTTCCATCGGTTATACCTACGAGGACAGCACGGTGGCTGAGGTGGAGAAGGCGGCAGAAAAGCCAGAGGAGGAGGAGTCAGCAGCCGAGGAGGAGAGCAACTCGGATGAAGATGAGGTCATCCCCGACATCGGTGGGGTCCCCTCTCTGCCCTCCCCACCCACAGTCCCTGGGCATCGTTTCTGTGTCTCGTCCCTCACCCTCTGTGGGGCACCCCGTGCTTACGAGCTGTGTCGCTCTCCCTCCCCCGCCCCAGGGCACGCCAGCCTCCTGCCACCCCTGTCTCACTCATCTCTCATTTCTAGGGTGCTGTTTCTATGATCTTTTCCCCTCCTAGGTGTTGGCTCCATTCTTCTCCACTTGGGCCGGCCTCTCTGTGCCTCTGCCCCGCTCCCCTGCTCTCTTCCCTCCTCTGGAAAACAAGTGTTCATCCTCTTACAGAGCCAGCCCCCATCCTCCAGGCGTCTGTTCACCCTCCCCCTCTCTGCCATTCACCTCCCCTCTGGATTCCCACTGATCAAACCACCCCCGAGTCTCTCCGCTTTACTCATCCTGGCTCTCACTCCAGCAGCCGGCTCTTTTTATTTTTTTATGTATTATTTATTTTTTTGGGATGGAGTTCTGCTCTGTCACCCCGGCTGGAGTGCAGTGGTGTGTTCTTGGCTCACTGTGACCTCCACCTCCTGGGTTCAAGCGATTCTCCTGCCTCAGCTTCCCAAGTAGTTAGGACTACAGGCACATGCCACCATACCCAGCTAATTTTTGTACTTTTAGTAGAGACAGGGTTTCGCTACATTGGTCAAGCTGGTCTTGAACTCCTGACCTCATGATCCACTTGCCTCGGCCACCCAAAGTGCTGGGATTACAGGCATGAGCCACTGTGCTCAGACTAGCAGCTGGCTCTTTATTCACACTCTGTAGAGCCACACATTGACCTCTGCCCAGCCCTCCTTCTGCTGGCTCATCACACGCCCTACTTCCAAACACCTGTGACCCGTACCCTGCCTGCCACCCACCATGATCTTCAGCCGCCATCTGTCTGACCCTATTCAGTCCTCCCTCCCACGTCAACCCCGCCACACGTCTCATCCATTCCTCCCTCCCTCCATCCACCCATCCCTCCTTCCTTCCTTCCCTGCCTCTATTCCATTCATCCCTCCATCCCTCCTGCCCTCCATCCATCCCTGCATCCCTTCATCCGTCCCTCCACCCATTCATCCATCTCTCCCTTCTTCTTTCCCTCCTTCCGTTCATCTGCCGCTTCCAAGCCCCGTCCCCCAGCTGCCTCTGTCCACCGTGTGTTGTGCTCACCTCTGGCCAAGCCCTGTGCGAGCTTGGGGATGCCAAGATGAGCCATACTTGATGCCATCCCTTCCTGAAGAGTGCTTCAGTCTGGCAGGCGCCCCATCACGCCCACCTCCTGGAGCACTGCCCCTTCTCCCCTGTCCTCTCGCTCGGCCGTGGCTCCTGACAGCCTTTCTCTTGGTGCAGACGTGGAGGTGGACGTGGATGAACTGAACCAGGAGCAGGTGGCAGATCTCAACAAACAGGCCACGACTTATGGCATGGCCGACGGCGACTTCGTCAGGTGAGGCCTGCCTGCTGACACTCCTCCCCATTCTGTGGGCCCCACCCTGGCATCTCACTGTTACTCCCGATACTGATGACAGCCATCCAGTTTGTGAGCATTTGTGTGCCTGACCCTGGGCCCAGGACTTTACACATGCAGGTCCCTGAGCCTATGGTGGTCGTGGCCCCACTTCATCTGTGCAGGAACAGGCTGCACCCAAATCACCCAGCCTGCCCTACTTAGTGTGACCTGGGGCGAATCTGACTCTTTGAAGCTCAGGGGATTCCTAGGCTGGGGGACAGCACCCTCTAGTGGAGAGGCCTCATTCCCTGGTCATTTATTCTGGCAGTTGCTGGTTGGACCTCTACCCTGAGCCATACCCCCTGCTGAGCTCATAAGACCACACAGAATTGTCCCAGCTCACTGGGCAGTGAACCCGAAGCAGAGCCTGAGCATGGCACCCTCTGCCCAGAGCCCTTTGTGGCTCCCACCTCCCTCAGGCACATCCAGTGTCCTCACCATGGCTGAAAGGTCTTACCCATCTGGTCCTCTTGACTGCCCCCATCCCCCCTGCCCAGCCTCCATGGCCTCCTTGCTCCTCAAGTGCAGAGGCCTGGCCCAGCACCTGGGCCACTCTGCTGTTCGCCTCGGGCGTCTGCAGCTTGCTCCCCCAGGTTTCTCTCTAGATACCCCGTTCTGTGTGGCTTCCGTGAGCTTCCTCTTGAAAAATGCAGCTTCCTCTGCCTTTGCTCTAACATCTAATGGACCATGTGTTTTATTCCCTTGCTCATTGTCTTCTCCCCTAGAATGTAAGCCTGTGCAGGTGAGGATTTCTGGTTTTTTTAGTGCTGAGTTCTTGATGCCTAAGATAGGACCTGGCACACAGAGGGTGCTTAATAAGTGGCACTGAATGAAAGACATCTCAGGCTGGTGTGGGGTGACTCAAGTCCCTCACTTTCTCTGATGACTCAGCCTGTGTCCTCCTTGTCCTGTGGCGTGCCCCCTCCTCCACCCTAATTCTCACCCCCCTCTATAGGATGCTCCGGAAAGATAAGGAGGAGGCAGAGGCCATCAAGCACGCCAAGGCCCTTGAGGAGGAGAAGGCCATGTACTCGGTGAGGTCTGGGCTAGAGTGGAAGGCGACAGGGTTGTGTCACAGGGAGGGCACCCCGTCACCAGTCTGGCACCCACCCTACTCCAGGGACGCCGCTCTCGACGCCAGCGGAGAGAGTTTCGGGAGAAGCGGCTGAGGGGTCGCAAGATCAGCCCACCCAGGTAGGGCTTCTCCCTGAACCCCCACCCTGCTGGCATCTGGGGGAGGGGAGCGGGGGCTTAGGGCCTGGAGGCAGGCATTTGACTTGAGGAAAGAGTCTTTCTAGTGGGGCGATGCGTGGCCTGCGTGAAGGTTTAGAGGTAGGAACGGCCTTGAGGGCCATGTGGACTCCTTTCCTTGCCAGCTGCTCCCCTCACCCTGCTGGACTGGGGGCCCTTGCCAGACTCCCAGGAGCCCATGCACAGGCGGCATGAGGCTGTCACCAGGGCGGCGGAGGAATAGAGGGCACAGGCTTTGCCCTGGACTCTCACTCAGTTCTGCTGCTTGGCTGTTTCCTGTGCTGGAGTTTGGACAAGTGACTTCCTGAACCCTCTGAGCTTCAGTTTCTTCCTTTGGAAAATGAAGCATTATCACCTACCATGAGAGAGGGCTGGGGCAGTCCCCACAGGGAGGTCTTGGGACAGGTTTGGATGAGGCAGTCTGGCTTGGAGCAGAGAGCCCAGCCTGGGTCAGGAGGCCTTGAGGAGAGGCCCGGTGCAAACCCATGCCTCTTTTTGCCACATCTCTTAAAGGAGAGTGATTGAGAGTTCCTGTAAGGCTTAAACGACTTGTAGGTTCAGGGGTTGGTGTGCGAAACATTCCTTAAAGAATAGCACCAGTTGTCACTGCTGTCAGTGGTGACACAGAGGCACATAGAGGGTAGTGCAGGAAAGCCCAGGCTGGGTGGCTGTGGGGCCTGGGTGTGGATCCCCGTTTCCTCCTTTATGAGCTGCGTGATGCTGGACAAGTGACTTCACGTCTCTGGGCTTCAGTTTCCTCAGCTGTGATAGTCTTTCTGTTCTTTTTTTTTTCCAGAGACAGGGTCTTGTTCCGTCACCCAGGCTGGAGTGCAGTGGTGCAATCACGACTTACTGCAGCCTCAAATTCCTAGGCTCAGGCGAGCCTCCTACCTCAGTCTCCTTAGTAGCTGAGATTACTGGCATGCATCACCACTCCCAGCTAATTAAAATAAAATATGCTTTGTAGAGATGGGGTCTTGCTATGTTGCCCAGGCTGGTCTCAAACTCCTGGGTTCAAGTGATCCTCCCACTTCAGCCTCTCAAAGTGCTGGGATTACAGGTGTGAGCCACCGCACGCAGCCTATTTTTATCTTATCATCATCATCATTAGTAAACCCAGACCCAGTGAGAGCCAGAGACGAGGATTGGGAGGAGGGATGCTTTCATTCTAGGGTCAGGAGGCCAAGCAGAAGCAGGGTTGCTGAAGTCCAAGTTCCTCAGAGTCATCATGGGTCTAGGACATTGTGGGGTGGGGCCTAAGTTCATGCTTTGGACAGATCTGAGGTGGGGGTGGGTGGAGGAATCAAGGGAAGGCCCCCAACCTGGTCAGCAGCCCCCTCACTGTGCCAGGTGCCTAGCTTTGGGTCCTCAGGTTGGGGGACTTATCCCAAATTCATGCCCACTGAGATCTTAAGCCCCAACTTGTCCCACCCCATTCTTCTCTCTAGCTATGCCCGCCGAGACAGCCCCACCTATGACCCCTATAAGCGGTAAGTTCCTCTGGAGGACCAGGGAGTAGCAGACAGGGAGCTCCCTGATGGAGACAGGGGCGCTGAGGAGGGGATGGGAGGTTCACCCTACTAGGCCACCCCAAGACCACAGACTGCATGATATGTTCTGGGTCTAAATCATTTTTGTGTTTTCCAGATCACTGTCTTGTTTTCCCAGTTTTAAATAAAATTTTGCTTTTTTTTTTTTTTTTGAGATGGAGTCTCGCTCTGTCACCCAGGCTGGAGTGCAGTGGCCCGATCTCGACTCACTGCAAGCTCCGCCTCCCGGGTTCACACCATTCTCTGGGACTACAGGTGCCCGCCACCAGGCCCAGCTAATTTTTTGTACTTTTAGTAGAGACGGGGTTTCACCGTGTTGTTAGCCAGGATGGTCTCGATCTCCTGACTTCGTGATCTGCCCGCCTCGGCCTCCCAAAGTACTGGGATTACAGGCGTGAGCCCCGCGCCCGGCCAATAAAATTTTCTTTATATTTTGAAGCTTCTTTATTTTATTTTTCTGATTTATTTATTTATTTATTTTTTAATTTTTTTTTTTTTTGAGACGGAGTCTTGCTCTGTCACCCAGGCTAGAGTGCAGTGGCGCGAAGTCGGCTCACTGCAAGCTCCGCCTCCTGGGTTTACGCCATTCTCCTGCCTTAGCCTCCCAAGTAGCTGGGACTACAGGCGCCTGCCACCTCGCCCGGCTAGTTTTTTGTATTTTTTAGTAGAGATGGGGTTTCACCGTGTTAGCCAGGATGGTCTCAATCTCCTGACCTCGTGATCCGCCCGTCTCGGCCTCCCAAAGTGCTGGGATTACAGGCTTGAGCCACCGTGCCCGGCCCTATTTTTCTGATTTAAATACAACGCAGTCTTATGGTAAAAAATGATCAAATATGGCAAAACAGTGTGACTGAGAAATCAAGTCACTTTAATCTCAATTTCCAGAAGTGGCCAGTGGGAAATAACGGGCACTCAGTAGCACCGCTGGGCACAGGTGCTTGTCTCGTGGGTGAAAGAGTGATTGGAGCAGGGATTTTGAGAGGGACCAAGCTCAGTGTGATCCCAGTCCCCCTCATCCAAGCTCTATAGCTCTCTGAAGCCCAGTTCCCTCTTTGGAATGGGGGTGGGAATGGGATCTTCCTCATGGGGCTGTGGGTCGAGATTAGATAAGGTGTGAATGGCTTCTGGGGAAATAAAAGGTGTAGGTTAGTGCTCCATACATGGGAGTGTTGGATATCAGGTACCTTCTTTTTATTTTTAAAATTTTATGTATTAAAAAACTTTTTTTTTTTTTTTTCTTAAAAAAAATTGAGATAGGGTCTGACCAGGCTGGTTTTGAACTCCTGGTCTCAAGCAGTCCTCCCACCTGGGCTTCCCAAAGTGCTGGGATTACAGGCGTGAGCCACCACACGTGGCCACTTTTTTTATTTTACTAAAATGGAATTGCACCACACTCAGTGTTTTAGAACTCGCTTTTTCCTCCCAGATTATCCATGTTTCTTTTGAGTAAAACTTTTCTGTGTTTTGTGCAGAGATCTGCTTATCTTTTTTTTTGAGGGGGGACGGAGTCTTGCTGTGTTGCCCAGGCTGGTGGGCAGTAGTGTGATCTGGACTCACTGCAACCTCTGCCTCCCAGGTTCAAGCAGTTATCGTGCCCTCAGCCTCCTGAGTAGCTGGAATTACAAATGCGTGCCACCATGCCCGGCTAATTTTTTTGTGTTTTTTGTAGAGACGGGGTTTCACCTTGTTGGCCGGGCTGGTCTCAAACTCCTGGTCTCAAGTGAGCCGCCTGCCTGGGCCTCCGAGAATGCTGGGATTACAGGTGTGAGCCACCACGCCCGGCTTGCTCATCCATTTTTCATAGCCACATAAAATCAGAGCAGTTGTCTGTCATTGTCCTTCCTGGTTATTTAGCAAAGGCTGCATGGTTGTGAGTCAAGTCCTTGTCCAGAGCTGGGTCTTCAGTGCCCTCCAGGCTCCATCCACCCGCCTGGCTTCCCGGGTCGCTCTGGCCCGCGCTGGCGCTGCTGTTGCTCTGCTGTGTGTGCTGTTCCCGGAGAGGCTCCGGGAACCTGGGCTAGTGAGCCTCCTCCTCCCTACCCGTAGGTCACCCTCAGAGTCCAGCTCGGAGTCCCGCTCCCGCTCCCGCTCCCCGACCCCGGGCCGCGAGGAGAAGATCACGTTCATCACCAGTTTTGGAGGCAGCGATGAGGAGGCAGCCGCAGCTGCTGCTGCCGCAGCCGCATCAGGGGTCGCCACAGGGAAGCCCCCCGCACCTCCCCAGCCTGGCGGCCCCGCCCCAGGACGTAATGCCAGCGCCCGGTCGGTAACGCTCACGCCGCCCGCCCTACGCCCCGGTCACCATGGGGGGGACCCGGGGCAGAGGGGGGCCGCGGCTCAGGCCTGCGCTGACCGGCCCTCCGTGCCCCGCCTGCAGCCGCCGCTCCTCCTCCTCCTCCTCCTCCTCTTCCGCCTCGAGGACCTCCAGCTCCCGCTCCAGCTCTCGCTCCAGCTCCCGCTCACGCCGTGGCGGGGGCTACTACCGTTCCGGCCGCCACGCGCGCTCCCGGTCCCGCTCCTGGTCCCGCTCCCGTTCCCGCTCCCGGCGCTACTCCCGGTCCCGTAGCCGTGGCCGCCGGCACTCAGGTGGGGGCTCCCGAGACGGACACCGCTACTCCCGCTCGCCCGCCCGGCGTGGTGGTTACGGGCCCCGGCGCAGAAGCAGGTATGTGCGGCTGGGCGTGGGCGGGAGAGGCTGGGGGGCGCGGGCTTCGAACTTGGGGAGAAGGTGCTCAGAGGGAGGAAACCTGGCCACCTGGCTCAGAGAACACCCCATCTGAGGTGACAGGCACAGGCCACTGCTCTTCGGCAGGAAGCCCTTGGTTGGAAAGGGCAAGGCATGGGTGTTTGCGTACGCATCGTGGTGGCAGTGGAGGTGGAGCCCAGCCCGTTTTCCACAGCAGGGTGTAGAGAGGAGACTGCATCTCTCTCTCCCCTCAGGAGACTGTCTTTGCTGTCAGGGGTTTCAGGTCGAGGGGAATAGAAGCGCATGGACGCTCCAGGGTATTCTGTAGCTTGAAGGGACGGGTCCGGGTCTTGAGGGCTGGGAAACCCCTTGGTGGGGGTGCGTTCCTGTGTGGCCAGGAGCGGATGGGGAAGCGGGTGGAAAAAATCAAGACAGCTCATTGGCCTGGCGCGGTGGCTCACACCTGTAATCCCAGCACTTTGGGAGGCTGAGGCAGACAGATCTCCTGAGCTCAGGAGTTCGAGACCACCCTGGGCAACATGGTGAAAACCCGTCTCTACTAAAATAGAAAAAATTAGGCCAGGCGCGGTGTTTCACGCCTGTAATCCCAGAACTTTGAACCCAGGAAGCAGAGGTTGCAGTGAGCTGAGATCGTGCTACTGCACTTCAGCCTGGTGACAGAGCGAGACTCCGTCTCAAAAAAAAAAAAATAGCTGGGCATGGTGGCGTGCGCCTGTAGTCCCAGCTATGTAGGAGGCTGAGGCACAAGAATTGCTTGAACCCCGCAAGCGGAGGTTGCAGTGAGCTAAGATTGTGCCACTGCACCCCAACTTGGGCTACAGAATGAGACTGCGTCTCAAGGCAAAAAAAAAGACATTTCATTTTGGAGAACACACGATGAGAGAGGCCAGCTCTAGGGATGGTTTAGAAAATAAAAGTCACCTGGAGACTGGTCCACCCCCTTCCGGTCTCCTTGCCTGTTGGGGTCAGGACTGCTCTTGGAAGGGCAGCGACGCTGGGTCGGTGGGAGCATAGCCTGCAGGGCACCTGCCCAAGTGTAGAGTCCCTGGGCCTCTGCTTCTGTAAAATTGCAATAATAGCATCCGCTTCTCTGGGCTGTTAGAGGTGTAACAGGTAAACCCATGTAAGTCGTTTAGGACAGGGCTGGTGCTGTCTAAGTGCCGTTAATATCGTCAGCATCATTACTTGCGTTATTGTAGCACTGATCACCATGTCAGCTGCCTGTAAGGTCTGGCAGGTAAAGTAGAGGGGCCAGGTAGAGATCCTGCTGACCTGGCAAGCACGTGTTCCCTCCAGTGGGGGCGTTGACCGCTCAGCAGCAGGTCTAGTGTCACCTAGTCTTTCTAGTTCTCAGGAGAAGTTGAGGGTCTGGATTTTTAGAGGATAGCTCTTGTTTTCTTTCCTTTGTTTTGAGACAGTGTCTTGCTGTGTCACCCAGGCTGGAGTGCAGTGGCGCGATCTCGGCTCACTGCAACCTCCACCTCTTGGGTTCAAGTGATTCTCCTGCCGCAGCCTCCCAAGTAGCTGGAATTACAGGCGCACACCACCACGCCCGGCTAATTTTTGTATTTCTAGTAGAGACTGGGTTTCACTATGTTGGCCGGGCTGGTCTTGAACTCCTGACCTTGTGATCCACCCACCTTGGCCTCCCAAAGTGCTGGGATTACAGGCGTAATCCACCGCTCCTGGCCCTTGTTTTCTTAATAATGACAACAAATTTTAATTTTATAAAAATTTCATTCAAAAATTAGCCAGGCATGGTGGTGCACGTCTGTAATCTCAGCTACTCGGGAGGCTGAGGCAGGAGAATTGCTTGAACCCAGGAGGCGGAAGTTGCGGTGAGCCGAGCTGTTGCACCACTGCACTCTAGCCTGGGTGACAGACCCTATCTCAAAAAAAAAAAAAAGAGAGCCCAAACAGAGTTAGTGTGTGGCCCAGAATTGGCTTCCGGGTCATATATTCCTTGTAGCTTACCCAGAGCAATGACAGGAGAAAGACTTGGAGGGCAGGTGGGACCTGGGCACATCTTGCATGCCAGCCTGAGAGTGTCCGGAGCAGGGAGAGGATGGGGTTCCACATCTCCAGATTGGAACTTGTGGGTCTGTGCTGAGAATGGTGGAGGACAAGGGATGGTCCCCACTGCTGTCAAGACCCTGGACACAAGCAGGATGAGGAGGTGGGTGAGGGTGTAGATGAGGTCACCGTGGAACACCATTGTGCCTGAGCTGGAGGAGCTCAGGGGGAGCCAGCCATCCCTCCCAGAGCTCCCCTCCCGAGAAGCTGGCAAGTGGGTATCTAGTGAGGGAGAGGTGACACGGACCAGGCAGTGCTCATGATGGCAGGACTGCCCTTAGGCTGAGTGTATCTAGAACGCCATCTCTGTAGCCAGAGGGAGGCCAGAGTGCCGCTTCGGGACATTTCTGAGAGAGAGTAGCAGGAGAGGAGAGTCAAGCCTGTCACCCCGGGCCTTGCAGGAAGGAGGACTGTGGATCTGAAGCCAGGGTGGGGTGCGGTTGGGGTCCCTGGAGCCTCACAGTCCTCTTCCCGCCCTGCTGCATCCCCAGGAGCCGCTCCCACTCAGGGGACCGCTACAGGCGGGGTGGCCGGGGCCTCAGGCACCACAGCAGTAGCCGCAGCCGCAGCAGCTGGTCCCTCAGTCCGTCCCGCAGTCGCAGCCTGACTCACAGCCGCAGCCACAGCCCCAGCCCCAGCCAGAGCCGTAGCCGCAGCCGCAGCCGCAGCCGCAGCCAGAGCCCCTCGCCATCACCCGCAAGAGAGAAGCTGACCAGGCCGGCCGCGTCCCCTGCTGTGGGCGAGAAGCTGAAAAAGTGAGCAGGGCGGGTCTGGAGGAAGAGGGCTGCCAACCTCAGGTGGGGAGGGCGAACGTCACTGTTTTCTTTTTGGGGAAACAGCCCTACCCCAGGAGGTCTGGGGGCCGGGGTATGGCCCTGGCCTGGGAGGGTGGATTTCAGGGGGACACAGCCCTGGCCTGGGGGGTCTGAGGAGGACACACCAAATCCTAGAGGATCTGCACAGTCAGAACCTTGTCCTTGATGAGGGTCAGAAGGGAACAGGGCCCGGTCTTACAGGTTCTGTGGGGTCTGAGAGGGACATGGTTGCACCCTGGGGCCTCAGAAGGCCCATGCCTTGGCCACCTGATCTGAGGGCAGTGCTGAGGCTGGGGTCAGAGGTGGCAGCTGTCCTTTCCCCCTCCCAACCATGTCCTCTGGCCCTGCCCCCACCCAGGACCGAACCTGCCGCTGGTAAAGAGACAGGAGCTGCCAAAGTCAGTAAGAATTTGGAACTCGCCCGTCTAATTCCCGTCAGCAGCAGTGCCCAAGAGCTGGGCCTGGTGGGCCTGCAGGGGGGCCCGGGTGGGCTGGGAGATCCAGCCCCAGGGACTGGGAGGGGAGCGGGGGAAGGGTCTGCCCCCGTGAGAACCATATCCCTCTTCCCTCCTCACTGTACACTGGGGCTCCATCTGTCACTGAGCCTCTGGGAGCTTCAGGGCTGTCCACAGCCTGCCCCTCCTCCC